TTTTTTTTTTTTTTTTTTTTTTTTTTTTTTTTTTTTTTTTTTTTTTTTTTTTTTTTTTTTTTTTTTTTTTTTTTTTTTTTTTTTTTTTTTTTTTTTTTTTTTTTTTTTTTTTTTTTTTTTTTGGTTGCTGAATTTTAATTATGTCACTGTTACGTCTTTAGTTGAATGACTTTCCTGAAATCGGAAATGAGCATTTATTTCATTAGACGAGCAATCTTGTAGCCAAGAGTGATCTTAGAGTGATTCAAATCTTTGGGCCCAGCTGATGATAGATTCCTCATTACGTAAAGAGCTGAAACTTTGCATCTTTAATAAAACGTGCTCACTCGACAGTTGACTGTTCTAAAAAAAGCTATTACTTATTTTAAACCTTTTACTACTGTAACAAAGTCATCTTTAAAAATGATAGTGCTAAAAAGCATACAGTAGCCTAATTTAGTCGAATATGTCAAACTATACAAAAAAGGTGGGGGGGGGGGGTGGAGATGAAAAAGAATAGTAGGGCCTTAAAACTTTTATAATTCATTTTATTCTTCCAAAAGCTTTAGAATAAATAAGTAATCCATACATTTCATTACTGAGCATTCTTTCAAAACTGACTGGGGGATTGACTAACTTGCTGTCTTTACCATTGTATTCACATTTCATTACTAAGCATTCTTTCAAAACTGACTGGGTGATTAACTAGCTGGCTGTCTTTACCACTGTATTCACGGCCCCTAAATTTAGGTGCTAACGAAGAATTGATGCAAATGAAATCAAATAATTCTCTACCTATCACCCACTGCCGCCGCAATTATTTGGTGGGCTATTTTCTAGTAAAGTGATATTTAAAAATCTTTTATATTAACTTCGCTTTTGTTCGTGGCTAGTTGGGTGTTTTTTAACAATCTTTGGTCTGTTAAATGACCCACTTCCCATCAGCCTATCGAGCTGAAACTTGACACATAGACTCGTTGCCGATGAAAACACAGTCTATCTAATTTTCAGCGCCACCCCCAACCCCCAAAAATCAGTTTTTCACTGGGAACATGAAGGAATATTCCAGATAACTGCGCTAAATGAGATTCTTTTTTTTTTTTTTAAATGTTGCAAGTGCGTTCGGTGCGTAATATTTTCTTCTGTTTTTTTTTGAAATAGTTGAAATAAATATGTGGTGTATTAGTGGGTGGTTCATTAGAATATTAATATAATTAGGGGCGTGAAAAAAAAAGTGTGTTTGCAAGCTTTGAAAGGGGACGGGGGGGGGGGGGG